ATACCTCCTGATTCACACTTCCTGCTTAGAATTGCTTTTGCTATTCTGGGTCTTTTATTTTTCCATATGAATTTCATGATTGCTTTATCTATTTCTACAAGAAATGCTGTTGGGATTTTGATTGGCATTGCATTGAACCTATAGAGAACTTTTAGTAATATTGCCATTTTGATGATGTTAGTTCTGCCTATCCATGAACAGGGTATATTTTTCCATCTTCTAAGATCTTCTTCTATTTCTCTCTTTAGGGTTTTGTAGTTTTCATTGTATAAATCTTTCACCTCTTTTGTTAGGTTGATTCCCAAGTATTTTTTTTTTTTTTTGAGGATATTGTGAATGGGATGGTTTTCCTCATTTCCAGTTCAGAAGATTTGTTGCTGATATACAGGAATGCCTTTGATTTATGCGTGTTGATTTTATATCCTGCCACTTTGCTGAATTCATTTATTAGCTCTAGTAATTTCTTTGTAGACCCATTGTGTCTTCTAGGTATAGGATCATATCATCTGCAAATAGTGATAACTTAAGTTCTTCTTTTCCTATCTTAATGCCTTTAATTTCTTTTGTCTGTCTAATTTCTCTGGCCAGTATTTCGAGAACTATATTGAATAGAAGTGGTGAGAGAGGCATCCCTGTCTTGTTCCAGATTTTAGACGGAATGCCTTCAGTTTTTCTCCGTATAGATGATGCTAGCCTGAGGCTTAGCATATATAGCTTTTATAATGTTGAGGTAAGTTCATGTTATCCCTAGTTTTTCTAGTGTTTTGAACATAAAGGGATGCTGTACTTTGTCAAATGCTTTTTCTGCGTCTATCGAGATGATCATATGGTTCTTATCTTTAAGTCTATTGATGTGGTGAATAACGTTTATTGATTTCCGTATATTGAACCAGCCTTGCATCCCAGGGATGAATCTTACTTGATCATGGTGCACGATCTTTTTGATATGTTTTTGTATCTGATTTGCCAAAATTTTATTGAGGATTTTTGCATCTAAATTCATTAGGGATATTGGTCTGTAGTTTTCTTTCTTTGAGGTGTCTTTATCTGGTTTGGGAATCAGGGTGATATTGGCCTCATAGAATGAATTTGGAAGTTCTCCCTCTTTTTCTATCTCCTGAAATAGATTGTAGAGTATTGGTATTAGTTCTTCTTTAAAGTTCTTGTAAAACTCTGCTGCATATCCATCCAGTCCTGGGCTTTTCTTGGTTGGTAGTCTTTTGATGGCTTCTTCTATTTCCTCACTTGATATTGGTCTATTTAGGTTGTTTATATCATCCTGACTCAATCTGGGTAGTTCATATGTCTTAAGGAATTTATCGATGCCTTCACTATCTTCTATTTTATTAGAGTATAGTGTTTCAAAATAATTTCTAATTATCTTCTGTTTTTCTGAATTGTCTGTTGTGATGTTGCCTTTTTCATCCCGTAAGCTAGTAATTTGGGTTCTGTCTCTTCTTCTCTTTGTTAGCGTGACTAGTGGTCTATCAATCTTATTTATTTTTTCAAAGAACCAACTTTTAGTTTTGTCAATTTTTTCGATTGTTTCTTTTGTTTTGATTTCATTGATTTCAGCTCTAATTTTAATTATTTTTTGCCTTCTACTGTATTTGCTGCTGATTTGTTCTTCTTTTTCTAAGGCTTCGAGGTGTAGTGTGAGGTCATTTATTTGTTGGCTTTTCCTTCTTTTAAGGAATGAACTCCATGAAATGAATTTTCCTCTTAGTGCTGCTTTCATAGTGTCCCAGAGATTTCGATATGTTGTGTCTGAGTTTTCATTCACCTCTAAGAATTTTTTAATTTCCTCTTTGATGTCTTCTGTAACCCTTTGTTCATTCAGTAGCATATTGTTTAATCTCCATGTGATGTAGGATTTTTTCTTTCTCATTTTGTTATTGATTTCCAATTTCATTCCATTATGATCAGATAAAATGCATGGTAGTATTTCTACTCTTTTGTAATTGCTATGATTTGCCCTGTGACATAGTATATGGTCTATTTTTGAGAAGGATCCATGTGCTGCTGATAAGAAAGTGCATCTGCTTCATGTTGGGTGGTATATTCTGTATATATCAATTAAGTCTAAATTATTTCATCTTCAATCCTGAAGCTTAATTTCACTGGGTACATGATTCTTGGTTGGAACCCTTTTTCTTTCAGCATTTGAAATATGTTGTTCCAGGATCTTCTAGCTTTCAGAGTCTGTGTTGAAAGATCAGCAGTTATCCTGATTGGTTTATCCCTAAATGTAATCTGCTTCCTCTCTCTTGTGGCTTTTAAGATTCTCTCCCTATTCTGTATGTTGGGCATCTTCATTATTATGTGTCTTGGTGTGGATCTCTTATGATTTTGTACATTTGGTGTCCTGTAGGCTTCTAGTATTTGGATTTCTTTTTCATTCTTTAAGTCTGGGAAGTTTTCTAGAATTATTTCATTGAATAGATTTCTCATTCCCTTGGTTTGGACCTCTATACCCTCTTGTATCCCAATAACTCTTAGGTTTGGTTTCTTTATGTTATCCCATAATTCTTGGATGTTCTGCTCATGATTTCTTAACATTCTCGCTGAGCTGTCTATGTTCTTTTCAAGTTGAAAAACTTTGTCTTCGTTGTCTGAAGTTCTATCTTCTAAGTGTTGTACTCTGATGGTAATACTCTCATTTGAGTTTTTAATTTGGTTTATTGTTTCCTGCATTTCCAGGATTTCTGTTTGTTTTTTATATCCTCTATCTCCCTATAGAAATGATCTTTTGCTTCTTGGATTTGTTTATGTAATTCATTGTCAAAGTGATTTTTTCATTGTCTGAATTTGCTGTATAATGTCTTCCTTGAGACTCCAGATCATCTGAAGCATGTATATCCTGAACTCTTTGTCTGACATTCCATCAGCTGCAGATATTACCTCATCTAATGTTGAATTGACCTGTATTGTTTGTGGTCCTTTCTTTCCTTGTCTTTTCATACTGCTCATCATTCTTTCTAGCTTTGTGAAACTGTTGTGTTAATGTTTTTCCCCTTATATATTTGTATTGTTCTTGTATAGCTCCAAAATCCCTCTTTTGTGGAGAAAGACAATGTTAACAGTTCCCAATATCAACAGTACATTATCTAAGCACAAGTTTTCATTATTAATACATTTATAGTTAGATTCTAAGTCTATAGATATTGGTTTTAATTATTACTTAAGAATGTATTCATTAGTTTCATAAAAGGCATACCATATCTGGTGGCATATAGAAAACTTAATTTTAGACGAAGGATGTTATACTTAGAGGGAAAGGAGTGAGGGTATGAGGTTAAACTAACTTAGCACCTTTGGAGAACTCTAACCAATAGACTGGTAATTTATGGAAGAATGTATAGATTCAACCTCCTATCTGTATTTAGATAGTTACCCTATGTATAGATAGCAATAGTTAGGAGATTGAAAGTGGGATAGAGAGAATACGAATGAAAAAAAAGGAAAAAAATAATAAGGAAGAAAAGAGAAATAAGAGAAGGAAAAGGAAAGTAAGATAGAAATTTTAAAAATTGTGGGAAGGTGGGGTATATGCAATTCCTCTATATTATATCACTTTGGTAATTCGGTTGTTCATGCACAGTTCTTGGTTTCACATATGTTGAAGTTGTGGAAGAGAGAAAGAAAGAGAAAAAAGAAAAAAAAAAGTCTCTCAGAACACTGTTTTCCTTGCTTCCAGTGGGTGGCGTTGTCTATTCCTAGCTTGAGCCTCTGTATTCAGGGTGGTGAGTATAGCCAGTGTGAAAGGAAATGAGCTTCCACCTGTATCTTCCCTACTCTAGTCTCTGAGGTATAAACCAGGTGCCTGTACAGTTGTTGTTTTTTGTTGATAGCTACAACCCCCAAAAGCTTGTGGGAAATATTTTGAGTTATCGCAGCTAAGGGTGGGGGAGTTGGAAACCGGGTACCTGGATCAGCCGCAGAACCGTGCTGGTAGCCACACTCCCTTTGATGGGTTTTAAGGGTTGATGGGCTTCCTCCGGACTAGCATACGGGGCGGGGCCGGGCTTCCTCTTCCCATCTGGCTTGGCACGCGCCAGGCGGCTTCCTCCTCCGGTCCTCTAGTATCTTCTTATGTGTATATCTTTCATCAGTTACCTACCCCTACGGCGTTCACCCCCTATTCCCAACTGACCTGCTTTTCTATTTTTTGTACAGTTTATTTTGAAACTCCAATTCAATTAAACTACTTCTTGATACTTTTAAGTGGCCCTCTGTTATTTTCCAAATCAAATCAAAAATGTAAACTCCTTTAAATAGCATTTCAATGCTCTTTATGGGCCTCTCTAGTCTATCATCATTTCTTAATAACAAAAGTAGGTAACATTTATTAAGGTTAATCACTATGCCAGGTACTGTATATGTAGTTTTTTAAATTGCACTTAATTTTCTTCACAAATTTCCAAGAGGCATACATTTATTATCCCACAGTACATTAAGAAACTGGTACGAAAGTTGCATATGATTATCTATCTACCTCATAAGTGGAGAAAACAAGGATTCTAACTCAGTTGACCTGAACTTATAATCACTATTAAGCCATACCTTTCATTACAGTATTCTAAAGCTAGTCTTTTTAATTTTACTCTTTCAATAAACAATCCTTGCTTTTTCCCAAACTCATTGGTTTTATTTCCTTGCTGCCAAAGCACATTAGTCACTTTTAAAATCCTGCTCAAGACCCATTTTCTGTACTAAGCCATTCTATACTGACCATTCTCCGAGGTTTAATTTCCTCTTAAGTTTATATTTAAATATTATCATTCTCTGGATTTTGTCCTCTAGCTACTTAACATGTAATCATCTCCCTAGGCAATCTACAAGTTCCAGAGATGTGTGTTGTACAGTTTTTGGTACATCTTTTGTGCCAGGTATCACTGTAGACACAGAGTAGATATTAAGGAGATATTTATTAAACTGGTGAAAAGGTAAGGTGTTTCAGCTAATGTGGGATATGTTTATTTTTCCATCTTTTCTCACAGAGGCAGGAAGACTGATGGCTTGGTATTATATTACATTTGAAACAGTGAAGAAATTTTGTACAATCAGTGGAAAAGAATCTTTATCAGATCTGGTAAATTAATTTTCACTAGAAAATAAATAGATAATGATAGAGTACAGAATGATATTGAAGAAACTACTGATTTATATCTCGTATAATTTAAGAATGAATGATCATTTCTAATGATGCTTATGCCTCAGTGTATCTCTGATCATGTGATATGGAATATTCCTCCTTAGAATATATTGTATTTCTTATTGGAACTTAGAAAGTATATATACATAAAGTAGGTGTGGCGACTGTCAATGATGATTACCTTGGTAGTGCCTACCAAATGTAATATGCAAGAATTACCCAATTTGCCTGTCAATGATGATTACCTTGGTAGTGCCTACCAAATGTAATATGCAGGAATCCAAGATAATATAGCATCACATATTAGGTGAGTCTGCCATGTATGATGACGAGTTGCAACATGGTGCAGTGGTGCCTTGTACTTGCAGTCCCTTACTAAGTCTTTTGTATCAGAATAGCAATAACAGTGAAAATAGAGGAAAACTGGTGATACCCCAGAAAAAGTGATTGTTGAGAAAAATACTAAAATATCAACTAGTGGGGGAAAATTTGCAGTTGCAGGAATTAACAGAACATGGGTATATTGTTGGAGTATGGTAATTACATTGGTCCTTTCTTCCTTTACTGAAGATATGAACAGGAAATAAGAGATTTGCAAAAGAAAATATTTATTCTCAAATTTAAGCCATTCATTTCTATTTTAAATATTTGACTGATAAGATTATACTAAAAATTGAACAATAAAAGTCTATTATTAAGGAGTCACATGAACAAAAATGTTAAAAGGTGAAAGGTTTATATTTTCTTTTTGTTTCTTTTTTTAAATTTTTTTATTAGTTGCTCAAAACATTACAATGATCTTGACATATCATACATTTGATTCAAATGGGGTACGTAATCTTATTTTTCCACGTGTACAGATTTCAAGATCACCTTGGAAGATTTATATTTTCATGTATATATTATTCTTACTAAGAAGAAATCAGGAATAGAAAATGCCCAGTATTGATAGTAACTCATTTTATCTTGAGTTCAGCAAATATGTAGGAAAATTAGAGTTAGTTTCATTTTGCAGATGTGGGAAAACAAAGCACAGAGAGTTCTTGCCCAGTTATCTGGCAGAACTGGGCTATATTATCCAAATTCTTAATATATAAAGCATTCTTTCCAATACTGAATACTTGGGATAATGAGTTGCAAACTATAGAAAAGCAGATAATAGTAGTAATTGTAGTAGTAACAAAATCAACATTTTTTGAGTGCCTGCTACTATGTGGTGGGCATTGAATTGTAAATTTTATCTTGTTAATCTTTACAATTTTATTGGTATAGTTCTAATGTCTAACAACATTATAGGCCTCATCATCATGACATATAACAGATGTATGTACGTACATAAGATGTAGTAAATAAGTAAATCCTTAAAAAAGCAAAATGTATAAGGCAGGTTTTTAACTGTTATATTAACTAATAAAACTATGATGGCCCAAGACAACATAAAAAAATAAATAAATTTAGAGAAAGAAGATGAAAGAAAGGAAATAAAAAAGTGTACTTAATTAAATTGACAAATGCTTAAATTTTATAGGTTGCAATGATAGCTAGCTGCAATGAATTTCTAGATGTGCAGTTAAGGATAAATGAAAAGAAAACACTGAATACTTTGAACAAAGATCCAAATCGGGTAACCATCAGGTACAGAAATTACATATCTTTTAAATAATTTTAAGTGGTTTATTTAGTGGAAACAAATAATAAAATTTTTGCCTTGGGTTTTTATTTATAGATTTCCAATGGAAGGAAGAATTAAAACAAGGGAAATGAAAGTAAATTGGTAATAATATTATTTTTAAATGTCTTAACATTCATATTTATGAAATTTTTTAAAGTTTTAAAACATTTTAAATTTGCTTTTCTTAATAAGAACATGTAAATAAAAGTAAGTAGTCAAAATATAGATATAGAATTAATTTCCAAGAACTCTGAGGTGTTAATTAAAATGAACTGTGGATATTTTTAATCAACAAATATTTGTTGAGAATGTGTTCTGTTGAGGCAAGATAGACAACAGAATATGCTTCTCATAATCAGGAGCTTTCTATTTAGCTTGAGTGAAAACTATGCATATAAAAATAATGGGCAGAGCTGGGTTGTGGCTCAGTGTTAGAATGCTTGCCTAGATATGTGAGGTACTCGGTTCGATCCTGAGCACCACATAAAAATAAATAAAATAGAATAAATGTATTGTGTCCATATACAACTAAATTTTTTTTAAATAATGGGCACATTAAAATACATATAATCAATGTCTTTTGAATGGTAGTGGCATTTGGGGAGAAAAAACCTGAGTAAAAGCATGCATATATGCCTGTGGATAACTTTTGCTAAAAATGAGGATTTTGTATGGAGGAGTAGTAACTGGAAGAGTAAATTAAGATTATACTGCTATGTCTGCTATGCTGGTTAGGGGCACAGGGACCATCACACCTGAGAGTGTGAGGACAATCATAGGAAATTAAGATCACAGTACATCACGGCTTGCTTTATCTGGTGGAAAGCAATAGTTAGCCCTGTGTCTTGGTTCTATACCTAGTGGAATCCCTGTTCTTTCTCCCATTCCTGTTTTATTACTACTTGTAATAAGACTTCCAACAGGGAGGTTTGATATTGAAAAGTGTCCTATTTATTAATGGAAATACTTATATTAAATAAAGTATTTTTACTTCAGATGTAATGAATATATCCCGCATTTGTGTATCTCAAGACATCTTAAAGAGTTTTACTTATCTGTATTTAAAAGCACCTCATCCACATTTTTACATCAGTTCCTTCTTTGTTAAATAAAAGGTTTTTGAGAGAAAGGGATATTGAGTGAGTATAGAAGAGTTAAAAAATTAAAAATAATAATAAGGACTGAATATTTAAGGGTTGGGAAAAGTAAGTCAATAATGACCTGCAATAATAATAATGCAAGATACAGAATCATGCAGTACGTGGAAATCAAGCATAGATAATTCTAAGAAGAAATACTTGAGTCAATAATGTCAAATACTGCCAGGCGCAATAGCACATGACTGTAATCCCAGCAGCTTGGAAGACTTAGGCAGGAGGATTACCAAGTTCAAAGCCAGCCTCAGCAACTGTGAGGTGCTAAGCAACTCAGTGAAACCCTGTCTCTAAATAAAATACAAGATAGGGCTGGGGATGTGGCTCAATGGTTGAGTGCCCCTGAGATCAATCCCCAGAACCCCAAAATAAATAAATAAAAATAAAAATGTCAAATACTGTGAGATTCTAGGTTTTACAATAAAATAATGAAATTTCTTCTTTCTTCAAGTCTTATACAGGCTCAATTAGGATGTATTCCAATACAAGATTTTGCTTTGACACAAGACACCTCAAAGATTTTCAGAAATGGCTCACGAATTACAAGATGTATGTTACAGGATTAGTGGGTTTTCAATATTTTTCCAATAAATTAGTACTGGGTTTAATATTGAAAAAATGTTTTTCAGGGTTGTCAGATTTTGTGGCTGCTCAGGAAAAGAAGTTTGCCGTACTGTTGAATAGTTTGATTTTAGCTAAATGTTTTAGATGCAAGCTATGGGAAAACTCTCTGCATGTATCCAAACAGCTAGAAAAAATTGGTAGGTACTGCGTACAGGAAGCCAGTTTGGTAATGTCAGCAATTTATTTCATATTTCACCATTAAGCAAATTATTCTGTTTATAAACCATTTAGGAAAATATGTGTTTATAGATATAAATAAGGTACTGTACTGTACTTTGAAAATCTGGTTTTCATTTGCTCCTGCTTAAATGATTCCTTTTGAAAGTAGCTGAATAGTACATAAGAAATCTAATAAAAATACTCTTATTTTAAAATTTGTTTTCATACCAAGAGTAAACTTTTCTTTTAGTAATTAGGTAACTAACTATATGGTGCTGTTTCTTTCACTTCTGTGACTAATATTTTGCTGTGATCTCAATGCCAAGGTACAAAGGTAACAATCTTGGATATTCTCAATTACCAGAAAATTATATCAGTCATTTGTATTTGAACTTTTTACCTGTTTTCAATAATAGTAAATAAAGTAATAAAAATAAAATAATAGTAAACAAAGTTTCTCCCACTCAGTACTGCCACACTTAGGATCAAGCATGGAGCACACAAACCTTAAGGGAACACTCAAACCATATCCAAACCATAGCAGTTAGATATTTGACTGAATCTTTTTTTAGAAGTTCTATCTTTAAAAATGTTCTTACTAATATGTTATTAAATAATTAAAGTATAGATTTCATTTTAAATGGATTATTTAAAAATTGTCCTTTGATTACTTTTCCATAGGTATAACATTGTCAAATACCATGGTAAATGCAGGTTTGACCTCCTTTAAAAAAATAGAAGATACAGATGCAAGGGAACTTGAACTGGTATTCAGTATTTACTTATTCCTAATGTTACCTTAATTCTATTTAAATTTTAGAACCTAATTTTGATATCTTCTTTTCTTTTGAATTATTTTCTTTTTTATATTCATAAGTATTATAACTTCATTATCATTAATAAAACCTTATCCTAAAAACATTTTACTAAAAAAGTTTCAAGTGTTGTGGTAAGAATATAATGATGTAAATATGTTTAGATTTTAAATAGACACCCCCCTTTTGGAACCCAAATAAAAGAAGCTGTGTTATATCTGCCAAAATATGAACTTGAAGTGGAACAGGTAAATATTTTGTTTATTAAATATTTTGGTTCTTTTCAGGAATAAAGCTCCCATTACTAGACTTAGAACTGAGTGTGAGTAATAATGTTATATTTTAACATTTCTTATGCCTATCCTTTTTTGAAGATTACAAGATATAGTGATACTGTGGCTGAAATATTAGTGACCATTATATTAAGGAACTTTGAACAGCTACAAAATAAAAGAACAGCACCAGATTCTCACTATGTTACCTTAATCATAGGTGATGCAGATAATCAAGTGGTTTTTAAGCACAGAGTTATGTAAGTAATTATGACATTTATTTGATTTTATTTCTAAGCATATACTGTAAATAAAAAATTTTTACCGAAAAATAGAGTAAAAATAACACTGTGGAATCAACTTAATTACATTTTCCTAAGACAATAATGGGGTAGTTTTTAATTTGTCTATTAAGGACAGTATTTACATTAGGTCTGTTTAGATTTTTATATTTAGTATTCAAATGAACAAAGCGTAAAATCTGAAACAAGTAAATAGATGAACTTTAGGAGATCTTTCTTATTTTGTTGCTTTTCTCCAGTCATTTATGGCCTTCCTACTTTTTTGATAGTTTTCCTCCTACTCATCTCAAAATTTATCTTCTATTTCCAGATTAAAATCTAACAAACTACTGTGCTTAGTTGTAGGATCCAGGCCACCAGATCACATGTATAAATGGAGGTACCCTTCCTATGCTTAGTTCTCTAGCATGCCATGGTATAATTTTTCCAGAAACTATTATTTTCTTCCAGGATATCATAGCAAACTGTTAAGGATTTTCATTCCAGCTATATAGCTACTACTTGGATGGTTCCAAATATTTAATTGTTTAATATTTATATGAGACAGGAGCTATCATCATCTACATTTTGTAGAGGAGTAAATTGAGAAAAAGAATAGTAATTTCTGCCAAGGTCATATATAGTTCATAGCAAAGTCTAGATTTGAACCTAAGCATTCCTATTCCAGAACCTATGCTCCTAATTATGTTACTGTATTTGTAAGCACAGGAATGACAGTGAATCTAAGATGGGAATCTCCTAATGGTTGACAGTATAAAGGATACCTTCCCAAAAGGTCATATACAAGGTTACTAAAGAGACTGCAGAAATAATAAGATAATTCTTTCATTGGTAACTGCTCTCTGCAATTAACCATGGTACACTTAGAATATGCTGTTGTACAAATCTTTGTTTTCTGTGAATCTTAAATCTAATGATAGCCCTGACTGTCTGAGACTAAACTAAATTTAATTATAAAATTGGTGGCTGGTTTGTTTGTGATATTATTAGATACAAACTATTTCAGAACAATTTTAAAGATATTATTGGAGGTCTGGGGCTTTGGTTCATGATAGAGCATTTGTCTTGCATGTGTGAGGCACTGGGTTCGATTCTCAGCACTGCATATAAATAAATGAATAAAGTAAAGGTCCATCAGCAACCCGAAAAAAAAGGGTATTTCTTTTTAAAAAAGAGATATTAATTAAGTTTTTCTTACAAATAAATGTAACTATGTATAGCCACTTTAATATGGTAGTGACTTAGGGACAAGCTCATGTGTTATTGGTAGCAGCTATATATTCCAGATGGGCCTCAAATGAATCAATGAAAATTGGAGATAGTTATAGTTAAGAAAATTATGGTCACCATAACTCCTCTGATACTTTATTCTCCCTCCTCAGAATTTGGGTAAAGTAGTTTTTAGTAATCAATTTCACTCTACTACTACAGAGTACCTATGTTAGAGACAGTCAGCCATTAGGATTTAATGCTATTTCATTTAGTATTTGGATCACTATTTAAATTATGCATTACTATTTTCAGGGATTCTGCTTTGATCAAAACTGGAAATTGGACTAAAAAAATTGATGTGAAGAGAGCTCTTATATCTGAAGATCTTAGCATAAATCTAATTAGTTCTGATTTTGGTATGTTAATTAAAGTAATGAAGATATAAATGTAAAAAAATACAATAATATTTAAACATTATTTCCTTTATGTTGATACAGAAAAAAATAAAGCTATTATGTAAAAATAATATATTTAAATAATATGAATAAACTTTAAGGGAAGTTTCACGTATTAGATATGGAATACGTAACATGGACAAGATAATATAATTCATATTTTGTTCATTTATAAACATTTTCTTTCTAGATAGTTGAATTTCAATTATTATGGGAATATTGACTTATTTTTATTAAGATGAATGTTTGAATTTTCATTGGTTATATTTTTTAACCTTTTTGAATTATTTTCATTTCCTGGACTTCTCGACTCTAGAGTTACAATAATATAAGAGATATAAAAAGAAATAAATGGTCTCATTTTTGGACTTATATGACTTAAATGAGCACTTATTTACTTTTTTCTCTTTTCAGTTGGACTTGATATTCAGCAGAAATTTACAGTCTTTTACTTAGGACCCAAGAGGTTTGGAAATCAAATAATTATACAAAGAAAATCAGAAATGGAGATTTCCCATTCTAAATATTCAGCTGGATCTACTGTAGCAGGCCCCAATAAAGGTAAATAGCTCTAGCCAGATTATGGATACTCTAGAACTAGATATTTAGATGTTATAATATTTACATTAGTAATATATAGTAGAAATGTTTTCTTGTAGTTAATATTTGTCATTGTTTGATGTTTAGAACACATGCTATTTTATTAGTCTTTTTATATACATTTCCCCTTTCTCATACCAACTTCATTCTTATGGCTATTATCAGAGGGAGAGCAAGTGATGTACAAGAATCTACAGATTTGATGAGGCAAACTAGAATGAAAATAAATTAAATTTTTTTTGTGATGGGAATTTCCAATGTACATAAAAGTAGACAGAAATGTATAATGAACTCTCAGATATTCATTAGCTACCTTAAATAGTGATCAACTTGGGGCTGGGGATATGGCTGAAGCAGTAGCGCACTCGCCTGGCATGCGTGCGGCCCAGGTTTGATCCTTAGCACCACATACAAACAAAGATATTGTGTCCGCTGAAAACTAAAAAATAAATAAATAAATATTTAAAAATTCTCTCTCTCTTTAAGAAAAAAAATAGTGATTAACTCATGGCTAATATTGTTTTAGCTATACCTCATTTCAGTTTTTCCTTTCATATGTTAAAGCAAATGAGATATATTATTCACTATGTGAATATTTCATTGTATATTTGTAAATGGTAAGGATGTTTTCACCAAAACATAACTGCTTTACTTTATTATATAAAAATTAATGCCATCCAATATTGAATCAATGTTCAAGTTACTAATTGTCTCATAAATGTGGTAGATATTGACCCCTGAGTCCCTGGTAGTTTTGACAGCTTCCTTCTGTCCAGGCTGATATGCTATTCCAGGTTCAGCTTGAATATTTCTAGCTTCATCCCTTTAATAACCCTTTTCTCCAAGGAGCCTTGGTTTCTTTTAATAATAGTAGTTTTCTGACATCACAATCTGTGTCCTAGAGGAATTCCTTGCCATTGAGTGATCACTTGGATTTTTCCATGCAGAGTTAGGAAATATGTAATTTTGTTTTGTTTTGTTTTAAAAGATAAAATTCATCATACTCATATGCATAACTCATTCTTACAAGTCCAAATCAAATTCAGGAATATAGGCTTTATCCTTAACTCAAATATCTATATCTCTTTTATATCATGCTGAGAAATATGGTTTTAGTGACTCAAAAAATGATAAAATGTTGCTAATTTTCAATCATTCATACACAATATACTCACAATGAACAATATAAAGGATAGCAATACCAAGCTATTCCACTTAATGTGATTATTAAAATTTAAGAATATTTTGCAGATATTTTTGTTCTCAGAATATATCTATTTATATACAGTCAAATTAATGGGTTTTAAAATCACTTGGAATAGTTCTTCTACATGGTAGACTATCTATGCCTCCAAGTACTAACAGTTGTTAGTGTTTGTTTTGTAGATTGGACTATGAAACATGTAGCTGTTCCTCACTCACTTGCTTCTATTGTCACTGTTTTCACTCTGTAAAGGGAGCTGTTAACAGATACTAGAGAATATGAGAGCTGTAGCTTATACCAAATTGCCTGAATAGTCGTTTACTCTGAATGGTATTGGTAGTTATAATAGGTAGAAACTGCATTGAGTAGTGGCAGAAAGAGTATATTTACAAATTATCTGTGAACCACTGAGTACTCAACTCATTCCTCTTTAGAGAACACAAAAGAGCTTTCATTTTGGAACAGGATATAGTAGTTTGTAGCAGGCTGGTGCTCCTACAGCAGCAACTATGAAAAGCTACCTAGTTAAACCTGCATGCTAAAGTTTGGGTCTTGAATGTCCTCTAAAGGCCCATGTCTTAAAGGCCTTGTTTCCAGGGTGGTGGTATGAGGAGGTGGTAAAACCACTTACCATAACATCAAAAATATATACTTAATAATGCTATAATAAAAGATGTTCAAGACCAATACATGAAAACTAAAAATTACTATTAAGAGGAAATTAAGGAAAACATAAATTAATCAAGTGATATGCTATTTCAAGGACTGAAAGATTTCATGTTGTAAAAGATGTCAGTTCTCAAATTAATCTTTAGGTTCAATATAATCCTGATCCCAAACCCCAGTGGGTTTTTTGTTGTTATTGTTGTTTGCTTTTTTCTGAAACAACAGGTAACTATAAGATTCATGTGAAAGTTCAAAATAACAAGAATATTCAGGACAGTCTTGAAGAAAGATATATCTGGGAGACTATACTAGATATAAGGACCTCTTAATCAATAGATACTAAGAGATTTTGATGTATGCATAAGGATAGACACATTAACTAATAGAATAGATTAAGATTCAGAAACAGACCTGTAGTTATATAAGCAATGATTTATGACAAAGCACAGTAGAGAAAAAATAGTCTTTCAATAAATGAGACTAGATTCATTGAATGTTCATATTGGAAAACAAAATTGTGCTGGATATGGTTTGAATGTGTTCCCCAGAGATTCATATCCTGAAAGATTGATCTACAGTCTTGTGGTTTTAAGATAGAACTTTTAAAAGGTGGGGCATAATGGAAGGTGATTGGGTCATGCCTACCCTTGGAAAGGATTCATGCTGGTCTCCTAGAGTAAGTGAGTTCTTCCAAGAGCAGCAGGTTTTTATAAAGTGCGTCCATTCCACATGCTTGCCCCCTTCTTTTTGCAGGTAGTTTTCACTTCTCCTCTACATTGTGATATAGTGAAATGGTCCCTAACCAGAGGCTAAACCACTGTATTCCTCTGAGCTTCAATATACTCCAAAACTGAACTAAATAAATTTCTTTTTAATGTACCAAGCCTCCAGTATTTTGTTAAAGCAACAGAAAATAGACTAATATAGATCATATCTTGGTCTCATACTCTGAACAATACTTCCTTCTAAATAGATTACTGATTTAAATGTAAAAGAGAAACAATAAAACTTTTAGAGGAAAAACAGATTTTTCAGGCCTTGGAATATATAGATTTAATAGCACACAAAAAGTTCTAATTATAAAGCATTTGGTAAATTTGACTGTGTTAAAATTAAGAACTGTTCATCAACATACACCAATAAGAGAGTAAAGGCAACTCATGGAGTATGAGAAAAAAATTTCAATACATATTCCTGGGTATTGTAGGCTGAATTCATATGTTGAAGTCCTCATAATGTGACTGTATTTGTAGAGAGGGTCTATAAAAAGGTAATTAAATTAAAATCATTAAGGACTCTAATCCAAAATGACTGGTCTTCTTATGGAAAGAGGAAATTAGGACACTGACACACATGGAGGGAAGACTACATGAAGACACAGGGAAGGGCAGCCATTCACAAGCTCTCTCCTGTGTTTGCATATTTTTTTCTACTCACCAACAGTTATTTCTTTAAAAATGGCTTGAATTGTTTCTTTGATTGTTTCTCTTACTTGCACCTGTAGTGAAAGCTGGAATGTCTGCTATACTTTCTACTATCACGAGCCTTTTTTATAGGCAGAAGTTCCCCTTATACTCAGGAAAATCCTGTGGAAAGCAGACAGATCATGCACGCTATCAGACAAGTAATGTTTTATTACATTCACACACACAAATATACACCTTTTGCATATATATATCTATACACCCATCCCAAATCTTGTGAATTTACATACATCCTGATTGTACAGTTCAGTTTTTTCATGAAAATTCATATATTCTCAAATAAAAAAATATTTTTATACCTTTAAACATAACATATATTCACTGTCTACATTCTCTTTCTTAGTAACAAACACAAAGAAGAGACCATAGTTTTACCCTACTACAGTTGTAACACAATCCAAATTTCAGCTGTTCTGATCTCTTGTCAGATCATGTTATTAAATTATACAAACTAATGTTGATGCTTTTTGACTTATGATGATGAGGTTATATCCTGATAAGCCCATATCATGAATCAAAAATGCACCTTAATACTAAATTACTGAACATCATAGCTTAGCAACATAGTACACTGTAGACAATCTATTGTTTACCCTCATAATTATGTGGCTGATAAAGCTATATCTCACTGCCACTGCCTAGCATCACAAGAGAGAATATTGTGTACATATTGTGTACATAGTGCTACCCCTGGAATAATTCAAAAATTGAAGTATGGTTTCTACTGAAACATCATTTTCTAACCATCATAAAATTGAAAAAACATTAAGTTGAACCACTATATTATTGGAAAGTGTCTTATATTTATTTCAGAGCATATAATTCAATACATTTCTAGTTAGTATCATTAATAAATTTGCTTGACTTAGAACTGGGGGCTGTAAAAACATGTTAATTAAAATTTCATGTGTTATAACTATGAAACTTTATGCATCTCAGATTGTGATAATATAGGATCTGCTATCTTGAAAGTATACTGAAAAGTATGGTTTAGATTAATATTCTCTGAGAGCCTTATTTTTTTAAATTATCAATCTCCATATTTGTTAATAAGACAAATTCAGATTATTCTCAGAATGTAGGGTGGGTGAAGAAGCACTTATATACTACATGGCATTGAACCCAGGGCTGTTCTATCACTGAGCTACTTCTTTAGTTTCCCAGGCTGGCCTTGAACATGTGATCCTTCTGTCTCAGCCTCATAAGTAGTGGGAATTACAGGCATGCCCTACTGCCTAGGTCTAAGTACCATTTCTAACAAAAATACAGGGAAAAAATTTTTTGACATTTAGATAAAATCCATGTGCTAGCATTCTTAATGGACTTGTATACAATTCTTATTCCTGACAAGATGTGCCAACTCTGCTTTGAAATATTGGGGAGCTTTTAGAAACTGATAGACATCCATATCCTGGGTCAGTTTTTGCTGCGGGCAGCAAATGTTTGTGCATAGTCATTGTACACCATCTTGTGGCGATATTTAAAAATGCAGTTGTGTGTGAAGTCCTTGGATTAAGAGACAAAGCAACTCTATCCCTTATTGGAAAAAAAAACTTGCAAGGCATTTCTTCTTAATTTTCCCATTCCCAAAATAATAAATTCCTTCT